TCCAACATCAAAGCAAAGTAATGTCAGTTTTTACGGCGTTAGTCTAATACAGGCTGGTCTGTTAGGATAGTTTTAAGATGTGTTTCTGCTGCAGGTGATTGCTGGCTAATGCCTGGTGAAAGCTATACCATAATCACTGTGTGCCTTTATTCCCAGTTGAATCATTATTTGCATAATAATGATTGATAGGCTCTTGGCTGTTGCAGCAGAGCACATTGTTATGTTTCTTAATTCTTAACTGTATTCAGCCTTCACCCACCGTGTAGAGTGAGAGAAAGAGAAATGGGGAGAGCGGGAGTGTTTGAGACAAACAAATGTGAACACATTTTAGTTCATTTGTGCCACTGTGACTGATGAGCCTAAAACAAACATGTCTTGCCAATTAGTGGCCAATAGTACGTAGTCATTAGTCAAAGCCTGTAAAACAAAAGTTTGAGCTGCAATGAAATCCAAACAACTCTCATCAAAACCACTCTATTGCCATTAGATTGCACTGCAAACACAAACCACTCAGACAACTTTTCTGCATTCTGGTCGATAGTGTCAGACATTCTGGGTGCGTGTAGGCTGATAATATACCGTCACATATTCAGTAAAAAGCCCCACAATTCCTTCAGTTTCCTACCCAAGCATCTTGACCAGGGCGGGGATGCCTCCAGACTTGAAGATTGCAAGGAGGCCCTCACGATGGTGGGAAAGGTTGTGCAAGGTGCCAGCAGAGCAGCGAGCCGTCTCCACATCACCAGTATTCTGCATGGCACGAACAACGGCCGAAACCATTTGTGGGGAGCGCATCAGGGCGTGGCGTGATGCCTCCTTCTTTGACAACTGATGCACCATTACAGCGGCTTTATTCACGACAACCTAGGACAAAGAACAATGTTTGTTAGGGTTGCATACTGCATTGTTAATAACTTACATGACACCACATGTCACTCAGTCGGTACCAATTTGTTATTTCAGTGTGTTCTTGATTCACTTGTACACGCACCTGGTCCTCATCATTGAGCAGTTTGGTAAGTTCGGGGATGGCACGAGTGGCCAACTCAGCATCATCTTGATAGTTAATGAGGTTGACCACAGCATGCTTCAGCATCTGAGACGGCTCTGCCAGGCGCTGCACTGCTGTTGGGTGGGCAGCATCCAGCTGGGTTGGTGGGATCTGGATGCCCTCCTCCAAGGTCTCTGGGAACATGGCAGCACGCACACGCTGGGCCCGGGTCATGGCATACCCCTCAATGTCTGAAAGTAATGCAATATGACAATTGATATCATGAAGTAACAGAATTTGTCAATCAGAGATTTTGCCATACATTTATGCTTTAGCTATCCTGAAGTTGCAAATGTATCAATATCTCGTATACCTGTAGGCTCAGGAGTGAAGGGCTGGTTGAATTCCCAGTCATAGAGAGTTGGATCATCCTCCTCAGCATCAGGGTTTCCCTTGCCGCTCAGAGATGGTGCTGTGGTGGTGACTCCAGACTGAATGCCTGAATCCAGGTAGGACTGCTGCTGCCACTGGCTCACTGCAGCCTTGCTGTCTCCCATTGCCATGTCCAACTCCATCAAATCAGCTACACAAAAAAGAGACAAAAAGGGTGAAACAAAGAATCACAGATTTGAAGAAAGGCAGTCAGTACTTCAGTGTTTTTCCTTTAAGCCAAGAATAGTTTTTAAGAGGGATCTGGAAGGTTTAAGTAATCTTATACATGGTTTTATTACATTTGTAATATTGCAGAAAGTCAATGCAGAAAGGAGATTTAGGAATTAAATAAGTAGTCATGAAAATAAGGAGGGCCAACATAAAATTAGAGAGTGACCTTTCATACAAAGAAAATCCTGTTAAAGCAAACGGATACAAACGGAACAAAAAGCAAAGGAAAAGCTTGTGTTCCTCTCTGCTTCATACCCTCAGGTAAAGCTCATAAATTGAAGCATGTAAACATTAAATTCCTCTTACAAATCCAAGAGTTTTTTTTTCTCCCTGAAGGAGAAACTCAGAGGTAACAAAGACGAATTACAATTACTCTGGATACTGTGACATGTGCTCACCTAGCTCCCATTTTCCCAATTTCCACAGCACCTCAAGGCTTACAGAAATTTGTGTATTTAGGCACATGAAAAAAACTCTTACATGTGGACATAAAAGATAAACCATAAAAGGCGTCCCACATCAACATAAAACTTATTTGACTCAAAGTTTTTCATACTTACACTGGGTAGCCATTGTTCTTGCCTGCCCTCAGCCCGCACAGCAGATATGTCTGTGTAAGAGGAAATAAGTACACAGGGGAAAAAAAATAAAAAATAAGACAAGTCGCACTCAACCTTGAGTTTTTGTTTGCCCAAAAAGCAAAAACCTAATCGTGGTGTTTATGCGTTTTCTCCTCCGTGGTCTCAATAATAACCCCCCCGTCTACCTGTGCCCGCTCCCCCCTGATTCCGACGCTTGTTTGGCTCACTAACGTAGCTTTGAGGGGAAATGCCGAGCCTCCACCTCCAGCCGAGAGAGCAAAGCGGTGGGTATTTCCAGGCCAGCACGAACACAATTCACCATTCAGCGGCAAAGAACATCAAAGGCATATTTCTCCCCCTCCCCCTACCACGGCCAAGTTCCGACCTCGCAGCTTGGGTTTCCAATGAGAGAAACTACCCCCTCCGCCCCGCAATCACTTCCATGACTCCTCCTCTTATGGAGGGTCTAACTACGAGCCTAACCAGCCGCCTAATCACAACTATAACCCCCCACAGAAACGCGTTTTACACACCGTAAATCCCCGGGTTAGTTTCTACAGACGTATCATTCACGACCGAGGCGCTAGCGTGTGTTAGCTAACAGGTTGGCTAGCTTACCTTGATAGCTCGCTAAGCTAACCTAACGTGCCTAGCTAAACCCTCCGCTAGTTAGCCGACCAGCTAACATAAACAAACACTGTTGAGGGCTCCACTCACACAGTCCGAGTTGTTCAAACTTGTCCTGAGGCGCAACCAGCACTAGAAGCCACCATTGCCGCCAATCAATTAGTGATTGGAATCGTGACTTTCAAGCGAGCCCTCCAAATGTTTAATTCTGGTTTGATTAGCTTAGCTAGCCAGGACGTATGAAAAGTAGATCCAAGCGCCACCGTACAAAAACCTGCTGTGCTGCCAGCCAAATCAGAAACCCCCCCGGAGCCCCCTCCCTAGCCAAAGATGATTTTCTTTGATGAAGCGAACATTGACGCGCTGTGAATCCGTTGTATAACACATGTAGTGAACACGCAGTCTTTACCAGAGTCGAGCGGCTCCTCCGTGGTTCTTGTCAGGGGAAATGTGTCCTTTCTCTCGGCTGAAAATAGGAAAACGGCTGCTAGGTGAACCACCCGTAAAGTCCGAACCACACCCGCTGCTGCTCCGCCGAAGATGTTGCTTCCGCCTGTGCGATCGAACATCAAGATGGCGAATGAGAAAATACAGTATTCTGCCGCACTCGGGAAAATAGGGCGCCGTTTTAAATAAAGTTTTAGCGTCAAAACTGTTATTTTACAGTTGTTTCTCGGTTTTGGTATCTTTTTTTACGTTAAGAGCAGTCGGCCGTTTCAGTTTTGAGATTTTTCCACCCAGGCAAATGTAAAAATTGTGATACTTGCCATAGTGGTGGGGAGGGCGAGGTGCATTCATTAGCCTGGAATGTGATTCATGAGCTGCTGTGATATGATGGAGGGGTTTAATTAACATGCAGTTAACTCCGACTCACAAACATTTCCCGTAACAGCTCTGTGAAATTCAGTCATTCAACCTATTCAATCATAAGTCATAATTTGTCAAACATGAAGGTCGCTTGTCAACAATCTCATAGATGTTTCATACACTTGCACACAGTTTACTGGGATATGATAAGCTGCAGTGGTTACAAGAAAAAAAACAAAGTGACCACAACATTATACCATATGGAAACTGTAGAATGCAATGATTGAATTTCAGTTTTCCACAAGAACCATTAACTTGATCCCATGACACATAAAG